CTGCACTGCAGCTGCGGTCGGCAGGGCAACGGCGAGAGAGAGGAGGGGCTCTGGGCAGGGTGGTCCTCGTACCCACAGACTTCATGGCAAACTCCTGCTCTCCTGCCACCCCACTGCCAACACTGCCCATAGTGGGGTCAAAGGTCAGGGATTAGAGGTTAGGAGTCAGGATTGGGGAGGGTCACAGAAACATTTGGAAGTTTTGTGGGTCATCACAACCTAATGCAGGTAGTGGGGGCACACACACTAGAGGAACACAGAAAAATGAAAGGCGTTATACAATATTATAATTGCATAATGACTAGTTATACAATAATAACTAATGCAGAATATTTTTCAACCAACATACAGGAAAATGTGCTCCTCCCACCATGATAAAAATGAAATGTGTCCGACAGATAAGTCTACATAGTTATGCGTAGAGTGAGGGTATAAATAAAGAGTAACAATAAAACCCGTCTTCCAGTTAATTGATAACATCATTGGCACAAACTGGGCCTGCACAGACAATACAAGTGACAAAATATGGACATGGCAGTAAATCCTTACTTTTACACCAAACAAGAAAATGATCATGATTCAAACTTTGTGTTATATTACTAAATATATTCATTAACTTTGTTTACAAAAAAAACAGACCAAAAATATATTGCCTGCCCTATATGCGGCATCTAGGAGTTATTTACAGAAATCCTCATAAATGTGCCTCAGATTAGGAAAAGTTTTGAAATATCAATCTGAAAAACCAATGTTAAGTATGTTTTAAGGGCTGTTTAAGGCATCATTGGTGGTGTACATTAAGGTACAGCACCATTCAATAAAAAAGACCCAAAACCAGGGTCTTTAAAAGCTTCATCAACACAGATCTAACAGTAATATCAACATGTCAACACTTTACCTCAAAACAACCATTTATTTCAATTATATTGTCTTGCTTTGTGATTAGATGCCAGTTTAGAGGTTTACTGCTGATCACATAACGGTAACATCCATGCGTTTAAGTCCAGTCTGGGACCTTTGTCATCTACAACTTTCACGTAAGCCATTCACTGTCTCCTATAAGGCAAACATGTCCTCTAAGTGTAGCACAATACAAGTCAACATCGCCACAAACTGCAGCTACAACTAATACAGAATATATAAACTTTTTAAAGGCGAGATATATTGCAGGACTGTCGAATACGTTTTAGACAATGGTACACAAATAAACTGGTAAAATTAGCTTGGCACATTCGAGTTTGTGTACAGTATTACAAAGAGATGTGCTTGAAAAAATAAATATGTTTGTATACAAGCTTTATATATGTATGCCCTCAAAAACGTTACATATTATCGAGCTCACATATGACATCTCCAAATGTATACAGCAGCATAGATAGAGAGATAGATAGATAGATATAGGTAGAGATAGATAGAGAGAGAGAGTCATGCCAGTGCACCTCCCCTCCCCAGCCCATTTACTAGAGGATTACTTCCACTTGGGTGAATAGTAGTAGTAGTAAAAAACACTGCCATGTATCTGCGGCTCTGCCTCAATCCCCTCTCCTCACGACTCCCCCTCTCTCTCCCTTTTTCTCTGCATCCCTGGGCGGCAAGGGCGGCTTTAGCAGCATCCGCATCAAGCCCTGAATCCACTGCGCTCCCAAACAATTACTCGCTAGGCCCCGTGACAAGAAACACACGCACGACCCTCGCCGAATCCAAAAATACATCCACATTAAAATGCACAGCGTCATTGACATTGACGACAGTAGCTTTGATTTACCGATTGTAGCATCCTGGAGGTCCATCATCAAAGGCTACTCACTATTTTGCAGCTCGGCGTTTTGTAAGATGGCAGCCTCAATACATATTAGTGTCACAAGAAGCACCGTCAGTCCCGGTCGGCTGGCCTCTCTGTGGTCATGCGATGTTACCGTGGCTCGGTAAAATTAGGGATGCTGTCTTCGACCGCTGTCACCGTCGGATGCTGATGATGGAGTCGGTCGGTTGATACGCGCATCAGCTGAGAGACACACACCCACCTCTGGCCCCGCCCCTCCGGCTGTATGATGCAAACGCCCCCTTTTGGCTTTCATCCAGTGGTCTCCCTGGGGAAAAGCCTATGGAGTCACATATGCAGCCCCCTGGGTGGATGGATGAGACGTTCAATGGAAACAGTCATGCTGGATGCATCAACAGACAATTATTTGTTCTAATTATATTTTTTCTAATGTCCTGTAACTGAAAAATCATCATAATTGATGTCATTAGAAGAACAAAAAACATTTGTATTGTTGTTTAAGTATTTTTTGGCATCTCAGTTTGGGGACAGCCATACATCCTGAATGGTGCAATAATTTAGATCCATATATATAACTAAAGTTACTAATATCTCTCTGAAAATCAAAAGTAAAAGTCATGCATCAAAATGGTTACATTACTAAAAAGGTAGAATCAGGAACATTTATTTAAAGTAAGTACTCCGCACTGCAGGAAAACATCCCTTAACATTACATTATTGATAATAATGCATTCATTTTAAAGGGGACCTATCATGCAAAATGCACTTTTGTACGTCTTTTATACATGAATATGTGTCCCCGGTGTTCCAGGGAACTCACCAAGTGTCAGAAAACACAACCCTCTCTATTTTCCTCCATACCCAAATCTCTAAAAAAGGGGCTGCAATGGATCTGATACAGACTGATCCAGATTTGAACACTTCTATGTCGTCACAGAAGTGGCGCTACGGCTATTGGGCCAACTCCACCAATCAGGAGGAGACAGCCACGGCCATTGCCGTTCGAAAGCGCTGGAGACGCTGTAGTACATATGCCAGGCCTGTAGGTGGTGCTGTTCTCACAGAATCAGCCCTTGCAAAAACAGAGCTAAAACAGTGCAAATTGAGCGAAATGAGGCATGGCTAAAATGCATGATCTGTTTGGTATTTTGAAAAAAAAAAGTATAAATATGCCTTATATAGGTATGGTCCTACACTATATTATTCAAATATAGCATGATAGGTCCACTTTAAATCAGAAATGTACGGCTGAAGTTGGTGAATTGGACCTTATTTTTGTATCCATTGTGATTGCAAATTTGCAATTGATTATGGATGAGAAACTATAAGAAATACATTGAAATTATTCAAGTAATGACAAGGAAAAGCAGATTTTCATATTTTGGACGATGCTCGGTCCAATCACTGACTTTTTCTGGTCACACAAGTCATCTAATATTGGGCAGGTTGTCTTTACTTTGATCACAACCAAAATTATTTCTGTGGTATAGACTATGTGACCTGACTTTTTGTTGCATAGAAGTTTTCTTTCCCCCATTTTCTTTTATCAGAATCAGAATAACAATCAGAAATCCTTTATTGATCCCACAGTGGGGACATATACATTGTTCCAGCAAAGGGACAGTGGACATTAAAGATAAACCTCTATAAGTAGGTTCACTTATAAAATAAAGAGACAAGCATACGTTTATAAAATCAAACAAGTACACAACCATAGTAAAACAATAAGTAGCAGCATTATAAAAGTATGTGAATAAATGAAGTAGATTAAGTAGCAGTAACAACAATTATATATATTGGGGGACATTTTTTTAAATTGTAATTTACATTTTGTATCACTCAATACTCACTGGTGTTATGTGAGGAGGGAAGCAAGTGTTGTTCTACAGTGTGGTTGACCATTAATCTCTAGGCCAATGCAATCTTTACATACTTTTGAATTGGAAATCTCTTAAGAAGAAGCCTCTTTCGCTGTTGCACTTGCAATCAACTGTCCATAAGGAGGCAGTATTGTTCTGTATTTGCTGAAAGCCTGTAGTGTGGTTTTCACAGTTGCAATAAAGCTTAATTTACGTTCAGGTGTCCCCGCTGCCACTAGAAGGCGCTATGATTTCACACACCCAGCCAAGCCACTTCCATTGCTTCCAGGCTCTTTGTCACCCACTTATTTGTGTTGCGTCTATGTGCTGAATCAATCAATACATTTAGCTTTTTATTAAGAAACCCAAAATGTCATATATGTCTTCTCTGCATCTCCTTAATGTCCTTTAATGTCAGTTTCTCATTTTATGTGTTTGGGGTTAATGCTATCAAAGCAAAATGAAAAGAAAATCTTTTCATGAACCCATGAGAAGGTCAAAAGTGGGTCAGAAGATTACCAAATGCCAAACCACTACTATACAATTACATGAAATGGTATGGTAGGATTAGTCATTTAGTGGCACAAGACTTCGGTCATTATATTTTTGGTGCCTCAAGATTGATGCTTATCTCTCTGTGCTGAGAAATATTTCAAATAATTATTTGTTATCTCTATTTGCTTCAAGCAATGCTTTAAGAAGTCTCGGGTTCAGAGTAAGTCTGCTTCCCATTGTTGTATCTAGCTCATATGGTTTATTTTTTCATGTTGCACTTTAGAGGCTGCCTTAAGTTATTTTAATTGATTATGTCAGTCAGTTAACACACAATCCACAAGCCAGAGTATTTCTTCAGTTTAACAAAGCTTGGCAATGATGTTCACTGATGTAAATCAAAGGAAGCATGCAAGGAACACATTTCACGCTTACATCTAAAACCATAATTGTTTTAAACTCAGAGCCATACTGTCTTGGAATGTTGTGTGTTTACGTCATAGATGCTTTGTTTGAATTTATTGTCCTAATCCATGTTTTTACTGTTTATTATCCGATCTGGTCACTGATTTTCTTTTAGTTTTTTTGTTAAAAATGTAACCCATTTGAATTTGATCAATATCATTATTCTGAATCAAAAAACATATTTTAAGTTTTCTTTAGAAGCCTTTGAATGTAGTTGCCTAATTTACCAATGTGGAACTACAGTCTCCTAATTCTCCTCTCACTGTTAAATTAATACATCACATGCAATGCATTAGTTCTGCCTCATGTTGGGTTATAAAAGCAGCTCTGTTCCCATCTTGACAAAAGCAGTGGGTTAGTGTCCTCTCATTTCACATTATCACCCGAGAAAATCTGTGCAGATGTCAGACATTAACTCCACAAACCCCAGGACTCTGGGCCGGGGAATCTGCATCATCACTGGAGCCTCCAAGGGATTCGGACAGGCGCTGGCATATCAAGTAAGTGATCAACTTGTAGGAAGAAAAAATGATTTTAAAGAAAGAAAAGCAAATAATCAAATGTCCGTCCAGGTGTCCCGCTCTCTGGAGCCCCGCTCGGTCCTCCTGCTGGTGGCTCGCTCAGGGCCTCTGCTGCAGGAGATGAAGGAAGAGCTGCAGAGTGCCACTGAGGAACAGCAGCTGGTGGTTCACTGCGTCGCTGTGGATCTGAGGACCAAAGAGGGTGTGGATGAAACGGTCAGGGTGGCAAGGCAGGAAGCTGTAGATGAAATAGAACATGTGCTTCTGATCAACAACGCTGGTGGGTCACTTTCTCTGTTTGAATCTGTCACCAAGCAGCCTACTCACTGCTGATTTTGTATGCACTGGAAAAAATGCTGCTCCAAAAACAAGTTGAAAAAATAATGAAAACAAGGTGTTTTCACTTGAAATAAGTAAAAAAATCTGCCAATAGAACAAGTGAAAATTAGCTTGGTAAGATTTCTTGAAATAAGAAGGGATATTTAGATAAATCAGATCTTGTAATTAGCTGGGAAAACTTATTTTGAACTATATTTGACCAGAATCAGGAAATGCTGTGTTACAATATAAGCCGCAAATGCTCAAAAGGTTTCTGTTTTCTGATGTTAGTTTAGATTTTCCAATAAATATGTGGAACAAAAAACATTCAATCTGAGATACAACTCAAAATAAGATTGACTTAACAAGATGATGCATTGTCTAAAACAAGACCCGATATCTCACTGCATTGTTACTTCTGAAGTTATTATGTCTTATAGCAAGTGTAAAGACAAATTCTGACTAGATATTAGACAAATATACTTGGCAAGATTTCGAGTTTTTGTAGTGTGTTGACCCATATTGTCATGTCAACATGCATGTTTACCCCTTTTTATGTGTAACACCTCCTCTCTCTCTCTACCCTTATAGCCTCTTTGGGTGACATTGCCAAGTTTGAGACTTTCACCAATCCTGATGAGGTGAATTCCTATCTGTCCCTCAACGTAAGCTCCCCTCTGGCTCTGACAGCAGGGATCCTGCAGTTGTGTCCCTGCAGGCCGGGCCTACGATGGAGTGTGGTAAACCTCTCGTCTATGTTTGCACTGCAGGCCTTACCCTCCTGGGTGCTATACTGTACCGCCAAAGCAGCCAGGAATATGATGTTCTCAGTGCTGGCCAAGGAACAGCAACATGTCAAAGTCCTCAGCTACTCTCCAGGTATATACTTTATATATTGACCAGAGGTATGCAAAACAATTATGTGTTAAAGTTAATTTAGAAATCATAGAAAACAAGGGAGAGTATTGTCCCTTTTTAACAGGGACAATACTCATTGAACAATGTTATTATAAATGTGCTACGTTATCCCACATCTTTTCTTTTTTTAAATGTTCCTTGGCCAAATGTTGTATGTTTGTATTCTCAAAAGAAAATGTCCTGTGATACTGAGAAAAAAATGAAGATGAAAGGATGTACTGTGGGGTCGAAGGGTACATGACCCCGGCCCAAGGCCCATGTAAAATGTTGATAATATGACATTGTAAACAACACATCTGTGTTGTAATCGACAGGAGAGCTACTGTAATAATGTAAGCTGTTAGCTGTAAGCAGCTGGTGGGCACAGACTCCTACAATAACCGCCTTTCCATTTGATGGTTAGTTTGATTCGACTATATTTTATGCAAATAATCACTATATCTATTACAAAAACAGAGTTAAAGGATATCATTTCGTTTTTTTTTTTTTACGGTTTACACTTACTTCAGGAAGGTTGAAATATTTTTTCAGGTAAGTGGTAGAAATGTTGTCCAGAGCCATGAGTGATGTGCCCAATTTGAAAATGTCACCCCCCTTTCCATAATCCATAACAGCTGGCCTGCTGTATCACTGTATTTAACCGTCTATGCTTGTAATATGGAGCGCAAGAGACAAAACGTGTTATTTTCTAACCAGCTCATTCTTTTGGTTTCCATCAGGTCCAATTGACACAGATATGCAGAAAGAAATCCTGAGATTAACAAATGTCAATCATAATCCCATGCCCTGCCATGAATCTGCAGCCAAACTGATGAAGCTGCTGCTGGACAATAACTTCTCCTCAGGAGCACACCTCGACTTCTTCGATGTGTGATATCTATACGAGAAAGAGTCAAAAAGAATAGTGTCCGTTGTGTAAATTATTAGATGTCATTACCTTGCTAAAGTTAGAGAGAAAGACCCATGCTCTTTGCTATTGCTCTTAAACTCTCTGGTAGAGCACAGAATTAGCTTTATCTACTACAATAATTACATACAAGAATAGTTTTTTTGATCAATTGCTGTTATACTGATTATGTGTTTCATATGTGATGTCAGAAAATAAATGTCACTCCTGTTCTTAATTGTTTAATTTCTTAAGCGTTTCACCTCAACTGTTTATTGACAAAACACAGAAACAGACTACTAATACTATCAAAAGTTGGGTCAAGAACACATGTACTAATACATCCATCAATAGATAGATTGGTCTTTTCAGACAGTGTAGTCATTTAAAGGTGGGGTAGGTAATTTTGGAGAAACCAGCTCGAGTGCGCTATAATTTGAAAATACACAGCCAGAAAAAATCTGCCACTTCCTTACAGAGCCCCTCCTCCAATACACACGAACGCGCACATGACCAATGAGGACACGAGATAAGTTTGTGCACAGATGGAAAGCTGACAGGCAGGTAGGCCATCCAGTTATTTTAGCCGGGCCGGCTAAAATGATTGGTCGTGCTTTTTACAGTACTACGGCTTCCACAGATGACATTTTTTTATGGATTTTGTGTCAAAGCACTTAAGATATTCATTGCTATCAGGATGTTAAGAGCATTCCATGGAATATAACAAAAAGTGTATCTTGAGCCGGTTTCTCAAACGTACCTACCCCACCTTTAAGCAAAGGATTTAAAAAAAGAAGAAGTTCAATACAATGCAGGGCAATGAAAACAACTGAAGCGTAGGTGCTTTAACTGTCTTTTGTAGATACAAGTTAATACTTGGTTTGTAAAGCCCCCCGAGTCATGCCAAGGTTTGGATGAAAATCTGAGTATTTGTGTGCACATATGGGGGATTTAAGTTTATTTATGTGTGTGTCTCTTCCTTTTAGCACATTGTGGAGACTCAAAACTTGTAGTCCAATCATGTGTTGGGGCCCGGGTACATCCTGGAAATCCTTAAGTGTCTCCCCCCAACGTGCTTGGTGTCATATGTTGCACGTACAGAGTAAGTAGTAGAAAGCACCAGAACAGAGTAGAGGCTGCCAATTAAATCAGCTCTGTATCTGTCAAACTCTCCCAGCTGTCCAACGTCACCACTGACTCTTGATAGACAGCCCCAACTGTGGGCCAAAAATAACCCTCAGCAACAGGGCACCTACCAATTCATGTTCGGGGGTAGGGGGCATTTCTGCCAGTAAACGGGACAAAAACTCTAAAGTGTCACCCCTAATTTGAATACATTTGAGAATCACATTGAAAGTGTGATAGTTTTAGCGGTGTGACTTTGAGATGGTGTTGTTGGTTTTATTGACAGGATAAGACATGTGAGTTCCATGTGGAGGGGGACAAATCACCACCAACCCATTTTGGGTCTGTTGGTACAGTTCATGGGGTGGAGGGCTATTTTAGTACCTCGGGGGAGGAATGTCCAGTTGTCATTGAAGTGCACAGAGGGCACAGATTGGTCTACGAGACCCTCAACTACCCTATCCCTGCATTCAGCTTTTTCTCTTACACTGAAACTTCTGCCGTCTGCTCACCACTGACTCACTGCTCACCAGCATCTCAGGAACCAGTGCAGGAACCATGGAGAACGTGGCAATATTCGAGTCACCTGGAAAGGGGAGGGGTCTTAAGGCCACTAAGGAGTTTTGGGCTGGAGACGTCATTTTTGCAGAGCCCAGTGTTGCAGCTGTTGTGTTTGACAGGTAAAGTGGTGACCAACATTTGAGATGTGTAAGCTAAGGGGAGGGAGACCTCATCAGATAGGGTCATTTGGGCAGATGAAAAATACATTTTCTTTTTCTTCTGTCTGTCTCTAGATTTACTATCTAGCCACAACATCTTACAGTTTCCTGTTTTTATAGACCATAGTCTTCTTTTTCTCTGGTTTTATCACTAACAAAAGTGCCATATTCTTACTAACATTACTCCAGTCTGACTTGTCATTCTCAGGGGGATTTTCATTTTTACTGAAGAAGTGCTAATCACATTGAAGAACAAACACAAATTGTGACTGCATTTGTATCTTTTGAAAAATAGAGCTCAGTTGTACTATCTACTGTCATGTACTACTATCAGAATATCTGTGCATTTGTATGTATGATCTGTGATATTTTTATTACATTCCTTTATAAACAAGCTGTTATGAGAAAAGGGAGTGAAATCCAACAAAGTGTATGTGTAAAATGTAATGTTTTAAATTTGTTTCATATAACATCTCTGGTCAGACTTCACTGTCAGAAGTTACCATTATCAGAGGAAGACATGGAATGTTGAGTTGAGAATATCTTGTGTAAAGATGATAATATCAAGAGAATAAATGCACATCAACCTTTTTCATGCAAATCTGAGATATTGCCTTCAAACTCTTAATTATTACTATACAAAGGAATCAATAGGCAATAGGCCCCAGGTATTAGCCAGAACCAACGTGCATAACTCTTCCTTTGAAAACTGTCCCCATGTTATCTACATTATGCATGTTCTATAAAATATGGACCATACATATCTTTCCTCTCTTTTTCCTCAGCCTAGCAGACCGTATTTGCCACAGCTGCTTCCGAAGACAAGAAAAGCTACAGAAGTGCGGCCAGTGCAAATTTGCTCATTATTGTGACCGAACCTGCCAGCGAGCCGGCTGGGCCGAACACAAGCTAGAATGTAGTGCCATAAAAACGCATGGCAAAGCACCGAACGAGAACATCCGGTGAGGGAAGCAAAAGGAAATATTTAGTCGTTACATGCTTAATATAGATGTTGAGATTTATGTGGATACAATAAGAGAAAACGCGTTTTCTGCTATTTAGTAATCTTTCCTCAAAGGGGACCTATCAGGCAAAATGTACTTTTTGATGTCTTTTATACATAAATATGTGTCCCCGGTGTGTCAGGGAACTCACAAAGTGTCAGAAAACAAACCATCTCTCTTTTCCTCCGTATCCAAAGCTCTAAAAACGGGGGTACAACGGAGTTGATCCAGATTTGCGTCCGATATGACGTAATATCGGAAATGTGGACCCACAGCACTATCAGAAACGTTAACGAAACACATCATAGACATGTTTTTTATATATTTCTATATATCTGAGATCCATAATATATGCCTAAAAATAGCATAATAGGAGACCTTTAATTGAAAAATAGAGACTGTTGAGTTGAATGATGATTGTGGGGCACGATAAGAAAAAGGGATGGACTGGAGCCCCGTACTCTGATATTGAAGAGTCCTCTTTGGACTAAAAGGGTTCAGGGGTAGGGTTAGGGTTAAGGTCTTGGATCAGGAGTCAATGAAGGGAAGCTGTAGTATTTCATTTGAAGACCTACAGTATAATACTAACACATGGCAGGCCTGAAAATAAAACCTTACAATAATCCAGTCTGGATTATACAAAGACGTGAAGTGTGATCTCTGCATCACCATGGATTATAAAGACCTGATTTTAGCTATGTTGCATACATGGATGTATTACTGAACTGGCCTGCTGGGCACAGTAAATATGTATTGCTTAAACACAGTCAGTCATAAATCCTGCTTTTATCGTGAACCTAAGAGTTACCTTTCTTCTTCTATTGTTTTTTTTCTGTGGTCAGTTTGGGGGCTCGCATCCTGTGGCGCCTTGACAAAGATGGGAGCATGATGTCGGACACGCAGATGGTAACACTGGAGGAGCTGGAGGATCACATTGCTGACATGCCTGAGGACGATTTGAAGGACTTCAAAGTGGACATCCACAACTTCCTGGATTACTGGCCCCGCAGCAGCAAGCAGCACAGCATTGATGACACTTTTCATATTTTTGGAGTGGTATGTTAATATGTGCTATCCCTTTATGGGCCATCCCTAATTTTCATAAGTTGTATCGGGTTAACGGTTTATTTAAACATTCGCAAAAGTTGTATCTTACTAAGCTTTTAACATGGCTGTTACAAAAGGAAATACAGCCACAAGTTTATACGCCCTGCAGCTCAGATCACGTGATGTATTTACCAATGATTGACATGGTGAAAATAAAGCGTGTAATAGACCTTGTGACCTGCCCAAAATGAACATTTAATAAACCTTTCTAAGTAGTACAGTTTAAGATGTCGTAGTTGTTTTGTTTTTTAACTCAGGCGAAAAACAGGCCCTAGTTCTGGTGCACTAAGGGACAATCTGATTTCAGAAAATGTGTATATCTTGTAAATAAGATTAAGCAGTCTATCTTTTGAGAGGTCTTAAGTTTCCATGAAGAAAAAGCAGCAAAGATTAGAGAAAAGTCAGAGAGAACAACATTGTTTGTGTAGCAGAAATGTTTTGTACTTATTACAGGTTCTAGTTATCATCTTGAGACCCCTCACATGTAATATGTGAATCCATATGACAGTGAGAGTAGTGGTTTAATAAAGCCACAGTTGCAAGAGAAAAGAGAGTAAAGGCCAAAACAAAAAATCCTAAAAATGGTTTTTCATTGCATAAATGTTTCCATTATTTATTGTGTATTGTTATTTTTCCCTCCTTCTCTCAGATTAACTGTAATGGTTTCACTGTGAGTGACCAGAGGGGCCTCCAGGCAGTGGGAGTGGGCCTCTTCCCAAATCTTTGCATGGTGAATCACAACTGCTGGCCGAACTGCACCGTGATCCTCAACCACGGCAAGTAAGTAAAGAAAAAAACTGTTTCGTTTTTATTCCTTTCAAAATATAAAGTGTGTGTTTGCCTACTGTTATGTATTGTGTGTGTGAATGTGTCTGTCAGGTTGTATTTGGTGTAAAACTGCTTCCTGTTTGTCTTTCAGTCAATCGGCAGTGAATACTATGTTTCATTCTCAACGGAGGTGCGTTACCTCAACCTCAGAGCCTTCTTTATCAACATAATATTATACATAACACGCCTTCCTTCCTCCCATTCCATCATGGAAAAGCTCTAATCTTATTTAAAGGTTTCTTTATCTGCACAAAGACAGCGTGCCATGTCCACACAAAGTTTTTCTCTTGTGATGCTTTGTCACTTTGTGTGTTTGTCATTGTGTGATCGCAATGTGTGTCCATTTATCACGCCGAC